CAGCGCCCACGTTATTCACTTAGCTTTGTCTCATCACGTGGGCATTTTATCACCTCATGTCAATACAAGAAGGGTGAGTGCAGTTTGAAAGGATAATTTTGAGAGACAGACCACAGTCACATACCTTCTCTTACAGTATATTGTTACAATTGTTCTATTATTATTGTTGTCAATCTCTTACTGTGCCTGATTTAGAAATTAAACTTTACCACAGGTATGTATTTATAGGAAAAAACCTAGTACATTCAGGGCTTATCTGTGATCCACTGGGGGTCTTGGAATGCATCCTGTACATTTCTCGATTGTTTCTAGATGCTGACATATTCAATTGTAAATCAATGGGTAGGATTTATAAGCCTAATAAGTGTATCGCATGGACACCTTGATCTTTTAGGTCCTAAAAATTGAGAATGGGATATGGGCTTCAGGAGCCAGCTTTTTCTTGAGCTGGGAGAGGTGAGAAAGGATGTGGGGAGTGTGGCAGGCTGATAATGGCACCCCAAGGGAATGGCTGAGGTCTGGCCTCTGGAGCCTGTGAATGTTACCTTATTTGGAACAAGGGTTTTTGCAGATGTGATGAAGTAAAGGACGTTGAGATGGGAAACTTATTGTGGAATATCTTGGTAGGCGCATTCAGTCACATGAATCCTTATCCTGGGGGGAGGTGGAGGGAGATTAGACCAAAGAGGAGACAAGATTGTAACCACGGAGGCAGAGATCAGAGTGTTGTGGCCACATACCAAGGAATGTCAGTAGCCCCCAGGAGCTCCTGGAAGAAGCAAGGAATGGATTCTCCCCTAGAGCTTCTGGAGGAAGTATGACCTTGCTGACAACTTATTTCAGACCTCTGGCCTCCAGAACTCTTAGGCAATAAATTTCTGTTGTTTTAATCCACCAAGTTGCTGGTAATTTGTTAGAGCAGCCCAGAAACTCATGTAGGGGGATGCACTCACTTCCAGTTCTTTTTCCTCTGCTGTTTCTAGGAATAGATCTGGGCGGAAGGGTTTTACTCCGTTGTCATTCTCCACTCTGAAAATCTTCTCTGATGGGATGAGAATAATTGAAATTACAAGAAAGAATGCAGCATGAAAACATTTTAGCAGCAGCAGACTCTGAATTGGTTCACCCTCCCCCCTCCTCCCAGATGGGTGCCCAGTGAGAATGTTGCAGAGCCGAGGCCAGCACTCAATAGGATGAATGAGCCACCAGGTGAAGGGGTCTGATACCCACTTACACTCAGGAGGTTAGCTTAAGTTAAGGTTCCTAAGCCTTTAAAACGTAACTCGGATACCACTACCTTTAGTAGGCTCCTTCTAAGACCCTAGCACACCCTCCCTACATCCCTTAGACACTCACCCTCCAGAGAGTTGAGACCTGGGACATAATTGCTCAGTGAGCATGGATTGGATGAATGGAAGGAAGCATTTGCCGCCCCCCCACCCGCCACCCCCCGACCCAGAGAGGACGTGTGACAAAATCTATAGATCTTCTCTCAGTAGGAACTACAAAATGTATGTTGTCCCACTGGAGTGATCTAGTTCAGGGGTTAAACAGACCCTCGTCTTTTATTAGAATCAGAAGGTAGGGGTTGGATTGTAAGGAAAGAGTCTTTAACTGACAACGATGACAATGACAACATCTGGTATGTTATGCTCTTCAGAGCATTCTAACATTCATATTGTCAACCCCTCTAATACCCCTATGGGACATGCAGGGTGGATATGCCATTAATTTTTGCAGATGAGGGGACTGAGCTGTGGTCACAAAGAGATGAGGTCAGCCTAGAACACAGGCTCCCAGAGAGGGCAGATGAATGAGTCTGACTCTTACCGTTCTGGTCCCGGCAGCTCAACGTGTAGAAGGTTTCTCTCCGCAGGATGATCTCCTGGGCAATGATCCCGTAGCTGTACACATCGCCTTTTTGGGAGATGTTGGCTTGGCGGAGGTGCTCTGGGGCTGTCCACAGGTCTGTGCGTTCAGCAGTGAGATTGGAAAATCGAGGGAGATGAGTGGCCCATAGGTCTCCAACCCGCTTTTGTTCTTTAAGTCTCAATGCCATGCATCCTGAATCCGAGTGGTCCTGAATTTATATGTCCCAAACTTTAGAGGAATTTATGCTAATGCTGGTGATGGGGGGAGAACACACCCTTGCCTTTTAAGCTGACTGTGTAATGCCAGGATTTGGGGGAGGTCACGTGGCAACGTCTTCCCTAAAACTTCTAGGATCATAGCGCTGAAAACCCCTAAGCCTCATATGACCTCACTGATATGAGGAATTCTTAATCTCAGGAAACAAACTGAGGGTTGCTGGAGTGGTGGGGGGTGGGAGGGATGGGGTGGCTGGGTGATAGACATTGGGGAGGGTATGTGCTACGGTGAGCGCTGTGAATTGTGCAAGACTGTTGAATCACAGATCTGTACCTCTGAAACAAATAATGCAACATATGTTAAGAAAAAAAAAAGAAGAAGTTAGCAGGAGGGGAAGAATGAAGGGGAGTAAGTCAGAGGGGGAGACAAACCATGAGAGACGATGGACTCTGAAAAACAAACTGAGGGTTCTGGAGGGGAAGGGGTTGGGGGGATGGGTTAGCCTGGTGATGGGTATTAAAGAGGGCACGTACTGCGTGGAGCACTGGGTGTTATGCACAAACAATGAATCATGGAACACTACATCAAAAACTAATGATGTAATGTATGGGGATTAACATAACAATCAAAAAATTTAAAAAAATTAAAAAAAAAACCCTTAAGCCTACCTAGAATAGCACCTGGTGTATAGGAAGTACTCGGGAAACATTTGTAGAATGAGTGCAGTAGAATATGAGAGGCTGAGGATTTAACAGCTTTTGCGACATATGGCATACTTCTATGAAAACATTCATAAATAAAAAATATAAATTTATATATTTTTATTATAAAATACATTTATATACTTTGTCACATAAAGTATTATGTTTAATATATATGCATACATGTTTAAAAGCATTTAAAAAAAGAGCCTATCACTGATATTTTGCAGGTGGGACGTATTGGCAGCCTCTAAATCCGCTATTCTCACAGATGTGTTTTCTTGGGTTCCCACAGTAGCCTTTAAAAAATAATGCATACAATTTGGGCACCTGGATGTCTCAGTCGGTTAAGCGTCTGCCTTCAGCTCAGGTCACGACCCTGGGGTCCTGAGATTGAGCCCCGCATCGAGCCCGGTGCATCGTGTTCCCTGCTTAGCGGGTAGTCTGCTTCTTGCTCTGCCGCCTCTCCCCCGCCCCCTGGCTCGTGCTCACTCTCACTCCTCTCTCGCAAAAATAAATACGTAAAATATTTTTTAAAATTACTGCATACAGTAATTTTACTCTGTGCCTACTTCCTAATGCTTTCCATGTAGTCCACTTCACACAAGTGAAGTGCTCCTGTGTTCCGTGTTTGGTTCCTACAGACACTTGGGTTTTGAATCCTATCACATAGCTTATTTAGTAACAATAAGGGCATTCCATTAATTTTCCTCCATCCCATGTAAGTTTTCTAGGATCACCTAGCTCCTTCTAAACCTTCTGTGATTTCTGTCTTCAGCAGTTTCAATGAAAAAAAATCTGTAGATTCACGTTGTGAGGTCCAGTGGCATGCTTATGCTGAGGCACGTTTTCCTCACGTTTGGTTTGCCATCCAAATGTTCATTACCTTTTTGAATTTATGTCTTATTAATTTATGTGACTTGTGATTCATATACATATGACTGATCCTAACGGTTTGGGGTAGTAGGAAAGGTAAGAAGATCCACATATGCTAACAATTCAGGTAACCAACAGCACAGAGAGGTAGGTATAACTGAGTGATGTCCAAGAAGAAAGCATTTGAACAGCAATTCATCTGATTTTGTGTTGTGGTGAGTCATCTAATGAAGGGGGTTTGTTCCACCACACGATGAACCATGCTTGACACGTGCTAGATATTCATCAAGCACTTACTGGATTGAGTCCAATGTCATCTTATGCTTGATGTGACTGAAGAAGTAGGAGCAGAATTGTCATTTTTCTTTAATTTATTTATTTTTTAAATGTATTTTTATTTACTTATTTATTTTAAGTAAGTTCCTCGCCCGGTGTGGAGCCCAACATAGGGCTTGAACTCCCGACCCTGAGATCAAGACCTGAGCTGAGATCAAGAGTTGGACACTTAACCAACTGAGCCACCCAGGCGTCCCACAATTTTTCTTTTATTAAGGGAAATCTAAAGGACTGCCAGGTAGAAGTAGAAATAGAATTTTGGTTTTTGGATCTAGGTGGGACTTTATATGGAGGCATTATATATGAACGCTAGATTTCTGAGGCTGTTTGACCCTGAGTTATAGTAAAAAAATGGATAAATGTTCAACATGAAAAACCCTTTAAACACTGCAAATCATTTTTCTTTCTGTTACTTTTTTTGACCCTTAGCACAATCCAGAAAGGGATAGGTAAGAATATATTTTACTAAGAAGAGGGTTTTTTTATCATTATAATTTCTTATCATTATCACAGATAAATGAATGAGAGTTTGGAAATAGGTCTTCGGCCTTGAATTCTATCTTCTTGGGCAAATCTCTTGGGCTCTTGGAACCTCAATTCTGTCTTCTATGAAGGAAGAGGGTTAGAGCAGATGATTTCTATGTCTCTTATGACTCTAACCTTGTCTATTTTTTCACCCAGTTCTGCTTCCTCAGCCAGTAAGTTCTTCATGATTTCCTCACTGATATCAAGAAACACACGGGCGAAGGAAACCCACAGAGGAGGTTTGTTGGACTCAAGAAGCACTTGTTAAAAACCGACAAGGGTGAAGTGCTGGAGAATGACCCAACTGTTTCCTCTTGTGGCTCCAAGTCTTTATTTTCTGATCAGCATCACCTACTCCCTGACCACCTTACATGGACTTGGGAGAATTTTTTTTTTTTAAGTGGAAATCCAGTAAAAATGTCATTCATTACAGACCTTTTCTGGGAGGCAAAATGGAATTGCAGCCAAAATCTGTGATCTTCACCACCATTCTACTGTCTACCACACAGTTGGTGGATTTCAGGCGGCCATGGACTTCGGTCTTACTGGAGTGCAGGTATGACATGCCCTGTAATTTTTCAGATGACAGGGAAACAGAGATAGGACACTCTTCAGCTGCTTGATTATTTTAAAGGAAGAAATGACAATCTGAAACCATTTCAGCACGCAGATAGAATCACACTATCAGGTTTTAAATTTAGTTCCATTAATTTTACTTGAAAAATACTGTTAACGCCCTAATATTTGCCTCAGCACTGCATCTTAAGAGGCAGTCGTCTAAGGACTGTAGTTAAATAGTTACAGCTAATATGAAACAAAGTGTTGATCCTAATTTTTTTTCTAAGTGTTTCTGCTGACCACTTATTCAATCTGTGATCTTGGGTATATCTCTGGTCTTCTACCTCAATTAAAAAAATATGAATAATAGTAGCCTTGCCTTTCTGAAAGAAGGAGCTAGCCTTATTATTTCCTAAAATATAATTGGTCTCATTCTATGTTGAAAGAGGATGTTTCCTTCCGTTATGAAAGGGGAAGCCCCCCACCCCCAACCCTAGGTTTTTGAGCTGCTGTGTTTCCCTCTGGTGGCCAGAGGTGTCCTTGCAGAAATTGGTTTTCATCCCGGATCACAGGAGTGAATAGTGGCAAAGAGAGTGGGGTGATTCTGATCCTAGGTGACTTTCAGGTGATTTAAGACTGTATCAAACAGCTCCATCTGGGGACTGACTTTTCTTCATTCTTGAATGAGGTCCTGGTCAGCGGTATCCACTTCCCTTTTCATATCCTATCTGGGAATATTCATGTTCAAATTCATTATTGCCTCGCGCAAGAGGGTTGCCTGCCCTTCATAGTTTCTCATAAAAAGTTGAAGATTGTTGTCTTGCCTGCAGCTTTATATGATTTTGCTTTCCAGCAAGTCTACGAAAATGTGTGCCCCAAACTCAGAGTAGAAAAAATGTAATAATAAAAAGAATAGCTTGTATATCGAACCTTTACTTGTACCAAGCATCCTATGAAGCACACGTATTATTTACAAAATCCTCACAACAACCCTCTGACATAGGTACTATTTTTACTATCATTTTACAGATGAAGAAACCAATGGTCAGAGAGGTTGAAAGCCTGCTAGATCTGTTTTCCTATGTTTCATTTTCATAAATGCCTTTGTGTTTGCAGGTCTCTTACCTTAGCAATATCATATAAGACCGAGATCTTAAACTCCCAATCCATGAATGTAGCATCAGGGTAGGAGATGGTGTCATTTAAAACTTCCTGAATGGCAGAAAAAGAAAGGAAGAAGTTGCAAGGAGGGGTACTGTGGAGAGACAACTACAGGCTAATAATGATCTTCTAATCACGGGGCCTGGGGCTCAGAAACAAACTGAAAATCCATCGTCCTGATTTTCCTGAATATGTATTTCTTTTCTTTCTTATGAAACATCGGGTGGCTCTCACTGCAATGAAATGAGCAGGAGATACCCCTAGTATCCCAAATCCTGGTTCTTCCACCAGCCAGGGACAAAGGAATGAGCAGACACCTGCCGGAAGCATGGGCTGTCAGCCTGATTCACAGGTGGGATGTAGGTACTAGCTCACTGAAATTCCACTAGTGTGTTTCAACCAGGAATTGCTGTTCAGGAATCCCTTCCTTAGGCTTATGTTTTATGATCACTTGCATCCATTAGCTTACAGCCCCCTAAGTTTTCTTTACATTTACCAAGTCTTCTGTCAATAAGAGCAAGTTCTTGTATTTTGTGTGAATTGTATCACCTAGAATTTTGAACTCAACATTTTAATACAATGATGGTTCTATCAAGATACAGGTTTTTTTTTTTTAAGATTTTATTTGTTTATTTGACGGAGAGAGACACAGGGAGAGAGGGAACACAAGCAGGGGGAGTAGGAGAGGGAGAAGCAGGCTTCCCACTGAGCAGGGAGCCCAATGCGGGGCTTGACCCCAGGACCCTGGGATCATCACCTGAGCCAAAGGCAGATGCTTAAAGACTGAGCCACCCAGGCACCCCAAGATATAGGGTTTTAGCGAAGTTGGTAACTATTCTTCACAGTAAAACTCGAACAACCTAACAATAGCTTCATCTGACCTTTAGTTTTAACTCAGGCACTGCACCAATAATTTCCAAAGAAGGGTCCAAAGTCATTAATCATTTCAGATAAGGCTGAATTATCTGTGGGTACCAGGCCAGGTTAAGAGAGGGAAATTATGAGCAGACAGATTCTACAGTAATTCTTTCCCTTAGCACCTGACATATTTTATATTTTTATTTATGATCTCTTCTCCCTATGAAAATGTAAACTCTGTGGTAATTTTTGTTCTCTATCTGCAATATCTAAACCAAAGTCTGGCACGTATAGATGGCTCATAAATATTTGATGCATAAATGAGTCAATTGTTCCTAATAAGGTTAGCCAATGTTGTTGTATATTTATAAGATGGGAAGCATATTGTTTTTATTTAGGGAGAGACTGGTTCATTTGTTTCCTTACAAAAGTAGGTTCCAATGGGATTTGCCATGGATTGAAGCCTAAAGGGGTTATGTCAAGGAGGGGCCTATAAAGTTTGCATTGGCACAGGCTTTGCTTTGAGATTCAACACACAAAGGAGTGGTTTCCTGTAGAAGGGTCTGCTGTCTGCTTCCAACAGGAGTAAGCAATACCAGAAGCGGGCCCAGGACCACTCAGATAACAGAGGTTTCCTACCTTGGGGCAGAGAGCCAAAAAACACTACCTAAATGTTGACTGGGCATTTTAGGGATTAAAAGGCCATGTGAAACCCTCTGACTAGGCCCTGTTAATTGGTATTCTAAAATTTCATCTCACGGAAATCAAATGAATCAGCTTTGGTCTAGCCCTCTTATGAAAAACATTTCTATATATGGTCCCTGACTTACGATGGTTCGACTTACAATTTTTTTTACTTTACAATGGTGTGAAAGTGATATGTATTCAGTAGAGACCATACTTTGAATTTTGAACCTGGATCTTCTTCCGGGCTGGCGACTCATGATGCTGGGCAATGAGCCTCAGACTCCCCAGCCAGCCACTCGATTACAGAGTAAATAACCAATACACTTATAACTATTCTCTGCTCATACAGCCATCCTGTTTTTCATTTTCAGTACAGTGTTCAGTACATTACATGAGATATTCAACCTGTTATCATAAATAGGCTTTGTGTTAGAAGATTATGCCCAACTGTAGGCTAACATAAGTGTTCTGAGCACATTTAAGGTTGGCCAGGCTAAGCTACGCTGTTTGGTAGGTTAGATGTATTAAATGCATTTTTGACTTAGGATATTTTCAACTTATGATGGCTTTATGGGGATGTAACCCATTGTAAATCGAGGAAGGGCTGTAATTTTGAAAGACCTGAAATTGTTATTGTTAGGAATGTGTGTTTATTTTATATCAGCATTAATTAAAATGATCATATGCGTTTTCTATGACCTTTTGTTATGATGTGTTATGGTAATATTTTTTCCTTTCATAGAATTAACCATATCTGATTATATTATGCTTTTTACATGTAGCTGGCTTAGAGTTACTAGTATTTTATTTATAATTTTTCCTTCTAATTTCATAAATGTGGTTAGCCTTGTTGAATGTTAAATGAATTTAGAAGATGTTCATTTTTCATTTAACATTAGGATAGTATTTGTGTGGACAATGAGAATTACTTTTTGAAGTTTTAAAGAATTAAGCTGAATCTGGTATTCTCTATAATGGAATTTATAATTTCTTCTATCATTATTGTCCTACTTAAGTTTTTAGTTTTTGAGTCAAACTTTCATGGTTATATTGCTTCTGAAATTTATTTTTCCTTTTTTAAGATTTCATAATTTAATAGTCACGAAGTATTCTTTCACAACTGAAAATATCTTTTCCATAGCCTTATTTTTATTCCCATTTTTGTTTTAAAAATTTTAATTAGAAGTATGAGAGGCTTTTACGGGTTTTTTTTTCCTTCCAAGTTTTTATTTAAATTCCAGTTAGTTAACATACAGTGTAATATTAGTTTCAGGTGTAGAATTTACTTTAAATTTAAAGCATTTTAAAATTCTATCTTTTTAGTAATAATTAAACTTTGTAAATTTCCTTTCCTTAGACCATAGTTATTCTTCTAAATTTTGCATTGAACATTCAACATTTACAACACCCAGTGTTCATCAAAAAAAGTGCCCTCCTCAATCCCCGTCACCCATTTAACCCCATCCCCCCCCCACCTCCCATCTGGTCACCATCAGTTGGTTCTCTCACCTCAAAGTTTCTTGGTTTTCGTCTTTTTTTTGCCCCCCTCCATGTTCATTTTTGTTTCTTAAATTCCACATATGAGCGAAATCATATGGTATTTGTCTTTCTCTAACTTACTTCACTTAGTGTAATACTCTCTAACTCCATCCACGTTGTTGCAGATGGCAAGATTTCATTCTTTTTTATGGCTCAATAATATTCCATGATATATATATATATATATATATACCACCTCTTATTTATCCATTCATCTGTCGATGGACATTTGGGCTCTTTCCACAATTTGGCTATTGTTGATAATGCTGCCAAACATCAGGGTACATGTATCTCTTCAAATTAGTATTTTTTTTGTATCCTTTGGGTAAATATCTAGTAGTGCAATTGCTGAATCATAGGGTAGTTCTATTTTTAGCTTTTTGAGGAAACTCCATACTGTTTTCCAGAGTGGCTGCACCAGTTTGCATTCCCACCAACAGTGCAAGAGGGTTCCCCTTTCTCCACATCCTCCCCAACACACTGTTGTTTCTTGTGTTGTTAATTTTAGCCATTCTGACAGGTGTGAAGTGATATCTCATTGTAGTTTTGCTTTGTATTTCCCTGCTGATGAGTGATGTTGTCTGTTGACCATCTGGATGTCTTCTTTGGAAAAATGTCTATTCATGTCTTCTGCCTATTTTTAAACTGGATTATTTGGTTTTTGGGTGTTGAGTTTTATAAGCTCCTTATAGGTTTTGATACTACCCCTTTATCAGAGATATCATTTGCAAATATCTTCTCCCATTCTGTAGGTTGCCTTTTAGTTTTGCTGCTTGTTTCCTTTGCTGTGCAGAAGCTTTTTATTTTGATGAAGTCCCAATGCTTTATTTTTGCTTTTGTTTCCCTTGCTTCAGGAGACATGTCTATTAAGAAGTTGTTGGGGCCAATGTCAAAGCTTTTATGTTTTATATTAAAAAAAACTCATAGAAGCACTTTAAAATTCTATCTTTTTAGTAATAATTAAACTTTGCAAGTTTCCTTTCCTTAGGCCATAGTTATTCTTCTAAATTTTGCATTGAACAGATTATTCTTTTAAGAGAAAATAGCATTTAGGGCTATTATTTTTTTTTCCTTGAAGCTAGATTTAAGTTTATGCCACACATTTTGAAAGCTACTCTTCTTTCTATAATTGAAGCTTATTTAAAAAAAAAAGTCTAAGAGATTAATTTAAAAATTTTATTATTTAAAAATTTTATTGTATTGTGAATATCTGGACCTCTTTGATGTTGCTGCTGCCCCGATTCTTCATATTTTGACTTTGTTGTAGGGAGGACAATGGGGTTATTTTTAAGAAAATTAAGAAACTGGGTCTGAATGTAGCCCAAAGGCAGTGATCACACGTCCTTGTTTGCTTGGACCCAGTTGCAGTTTATATCTGTTGTTCCAACATAATTGCTATAGTACCCCTTTCCTTCTCAAAGTATCCTGATAAATTATATGGTCACCTTACCCAAAGGTATTTAAAAGGCTGAAAGCTCTTGTAACAGATGCCCAGGAAGTGCTCAAGGTGAGGTGCAAATATCTCAATGCTCTTTGATGCAATTATCCTGGATTCCTTTCTGCTCCTGCCCATTTCCCCATTCTAGTCCTGCTTCTGCTTGAAACCTGACTTCGTTTCTTGTATGTAAACGGTTCTCGTGTATGCCTGCCTTCTGAACTACCCAGTGATTTGATATTCCTAGCTTGAAGCTTTGTTCTTCCCAAGAACTTGGTTCAGCCCTGTCTTACTTTCTCTTTCTGCTTTGGACTTGCTCAACCAGAATGCCTGATCACATCTGGCGACTCCTGGGCCATCCTCAATCTCTCCCAAAGGAGAGAAGGGTAGGAATTCAGACTATAGCAGAACCAGGACTTATGGACAAGTCTCCAGTGCTTATTTGGTTAGGGTTGACTATCCAATTTTCTCTTAATGCAAAAGCAAGTAGGTAAGGAAAATAAAATGAATTTAGAGGTAATCACTCACTTTCCCACATCTGTTCTCTGGCTTTTCAAGTCTACACTCCTATTTTTGGCTTGTTTTTTGTTTTTGTTTTGTTTTTGTAAAGATGTAGTAAGACTGGCTGACAAAATCTAAGTGATCTAGTTAGGAAGCATACGGACCTACCACTTTTTCCTGATAATTCTCTGATATTATTTCACTGGGTAAACATTTAACATTTCTACTAACTATTCTTTCTTCCCATATGGCTGGCCAGTTAGGAAATTGGAAATGATCATAGTTCCTTACCCGGAGGGATCCTCTCTCGCAGTATTCGATCACCCCGAAGATCATGGTATCAAGTTTCACTGTGCCGTAGAACTTGGTGAGGTTGTAATAGTCAATCTGAAGCAACTAAGATAACATGTTTAGTTATAAAGCAAGTCAGCCAGAGAGCAGGGCCACAGTAAAAATTAATATGCTAATAAAACATGCCGTGCTTTAGGTCTTTGGGAAGATGTATCATTCCTGATACATTGGAATGTCAGTACATTCCTCACTGACACTACATGTTCCTCAACAGTTTTTCTTTTATCAGCAAGGAGCCTGGAAGACGAACCTTTGACTACATTCAAATAATATCAGGGCCATTTTCTAGGACATGCTAATAGATGTCTAAAATTTTTTACACCATCAAACACCACTCTTCAACTTCTGTTGGTAGAATTTTCAACAAAGAAGTAGAGTCTCCCATTTCTTGGTCTGAGGGCTTTTTTTTTGTCTCCATCCCCCATAACATCTGGATCCACCAGGGACTTCAGTGCTTAGGGAAGATGGAGTGAAGCTATTTCTCCTTTAAGGATTTCAAGTAAGAGACACATACCTTGTTCAATTCTATCTTCTGTTTCTCAGTGAAATTGCCGTCGTTGTGCTTGAGATCCTTTAGAATCACTTGCTGCGAAGATCATTTGAATTAAGGAGATAACGCTGTAGCATGACCAGTTCTGTGCATATTATGATCATTTGTTGTGTGTCTATCTTCCCCATACACTGTAAGCTCTTGAGAGCAGTGACACGATTTTATTGATATTTATATCCCGGGTGCCTAGTACCTGGCATAAGCTCAGGTTTGAATGTTTCTTTAAGAATGACTAAATGAAAAGGGAGGGCCCAGGGAGGAAAGAAGATACAAAACCCCCATATGGGATTGTTGTATTCGCCTGGCAGTGAGCCACAATATCATACTAGGGTACTTTGGACAGCTCTGAACTCTTTTATTTCTCTTTTTCCTTCTTATTCTCTACCCCCCTTAAAAATTCTGTTTGTCCTTCAATTTGTCCAGGCTTGTGAGTTTTGTAACCCTTGAAGCAGAGCCCTGCCCATCCCTGTGAAAAGCTCCAGGAAAAGCCCTTGGAGGCAGCCTGCACCATTGCATGGTCCACATCAGGAGCCAGGGCAAGGATGAGCAGAAGGCCTGGAACACGGCCCGACTGAGAGTTCAGAGAAGCAGAGGAGACTAGTCACCTTTTTGTCGTATTTGCACTGTCGGAGTCTCTGAATTGTATCTCGTCTCTTGTCATCATCGATCTGGCACAAAAAAAGGCTAATTATTATAGACACTTCATATCTTGTCACATCTACTGTGAAGGCAGAGAGGGTCTGCCAGGTGGGTGTATCTGTTGGTTCACAGCACGCTGGGAAGGCTTCTGGCAAAACTGACAATTGCCTTGTGTTTCCCTGTCACTACTCATCTTCCCTCCCCACCAGGGTCTTCTTTCCAGATATCTACCTCTCATCCTTACCTCTGGGTCTTCCTCCCTCTTCCTCCCTTCTTAAGAAGGCCTGTCAGCCAGGGATTTCCTTTGCTTCCTTCTCTCCTGGTCCATTCTGCTGGGAATCATTGTCTGTAGCTAGAGACAGGTGCTCCTAGGGGAGCCTGTTGTGCACTTGAGTTGCAAACTCACACCTCAGGGTTCAATTAGCAATGCAAGTGAGGACACTGGGCGGGGTGCCTAAGGGGGGCAGCCCCATCAGCTCTGGGTTCAGCGGAGAGTTGCCAGATCATCAGATTTGTCAAAAGAAGCTGGTAATATCGATTTTCCTATGCCATTCCAAAATTTTTGTATTTGGCAATTAATTTTAGAAGATGTTAAATATTAAATGAAACCACACACACACACACACACACACACACACACACACACACACACACACCTGCAGGCTAGATATGGCTCTTGGTCTGCCAGACTTCTGGTCGCCTTGAGATTGAGAAATAGTGCATCTTTTAATTTGGTTCTCACAGAAACCTGTGATGTATTATGATATTGGTTAAAACTTACCTCGTAGGACCTTTTGAAATGTGAGCAAAATAAACTCTATCAAATTCCAAGCATGATGCCTGGCACAATGCAGATTAACAAATGTCAGATGTCTTCTCTTCCTCTTCTCATTTTACTAATGGGCCACATACGGGTTAAATGACACTAAGTGTCACACATGGGCATGCCAAAATCTGAGCTTGCTGCCTTGTCTCTTTCTTTTTTCTGAGCCCTCGATTAGTTCATTTAAACTATTTGAACCTCAGTATTTCATCTGGGAAATTCTAATTGACAGGGGTCCTGGGCATCAAATGCAATAAAGTTTGTGAAATTTTCTTGCAAATTTGAGTGTTTTATCCTCAAACGAGTTATCTTCATCTTTTTCATCATTTTCATCTGTTACTCATCCCTTTGAACTTCCTGACTTCTCTCCTTGTCTGCTTTGGTTTTCTGCCCCTTTCTGTCCTCACACAGGGATGTACTCTTTCTCATCCCATCCCGTGGTCTTATTTCCTTATCTCTGCCTTCAGCGCATATGCACATCCGGGACTTGAACCATTTCCTGTCTGGTGCTGCGGCATTTCCACCTCTGGCTGACTTTGGCTGACCTCCTTGGGCTTTCTCCCTGCTCCACCTGACTCACAGTGCTGGAAGACCTCTCTTGACAGTTAATCCTTGGCCACCTGCTTCCCAGCCTGCCTGAAACTCTGTGTGACTGTGACCCTCCATGCCTCGAATCACCTCTCTGGTCCCTCTCTTAAACTTATTGTCCCAAAGACTTAGTCTAGCCAGGTGAGTGGCTAATCTGATGGATTCATGCATCAAAATTGTGTAATGTCTGATGAGGGATGGATGGGTTATATTTCTAGAAATATCTGCATTTGAAGAAAACAGAGACACAGTATTTTAGGATTCATCAAAAAGAACAAATATGAAATGTGGGGTTTGAGGCAGTGGGGGAGGCTTCTGAGGAGTGGAGGCATGGCTGGATGTGCGCAGAGGTGGGCCATGTGGGAGCCCATCCTGGTGTCATACCAGAGGTGGAGGAGCACTCACTCCTTCTAGAGGTCTCCTCCCGTCTTCCTGGGGTACTGTCAATTAGTCATTTAGGTCCAAAAATTCTCTCTTGGGAAGTCCGATAGTCTTACGGTCATTTGCACCTTTCCATGAATTACTGCAAGATGGATTTTATCCTGATGCTTGCCTGAGATAGAGTGGTCTTTGCAAATAGAAGTCTTACGTGTAAGGTTCCCAGTGCAACAGGAGGGTCAGTCAGAGCAGGAGCATTACTGGAGGCAAGGGAGATCTAGTCCTTGTAGAGCGTGAGGGGATCCTAGCTCTTAGAGCACGACATGCAGGAATTGGACACACCTGACCCAGCTGCAATTTTACTTTTGCTGGTTTTAGGCAGGGAGGCATCTCAAGTCACACTATCCTATCGACTTGGCCCTAGGCTGAGGAACCCCACCATGCCCTTCATGTGGAGGTTCTGGGTCTCCTTCTTCTCTTAGTGTGCTTTGGTCTAAAAACTCTGTAAGAATATGGTGAATGGTAGCTTTTAGGATCTTAGACTTCACAGTCAGACAGACTAGGTTCAAACTGTGACCATGTTCCTCAGGTTCTAGCCTTGTTACCTCCCAGGGCTCATCGGGGGAAGATGAAATGGGTCAATGCCCCTGGCACGGGAGAAGTGCTCAGTAAGTGTCAACTCTTATTATTTGCGGTAATCCTACTCATTAGCTGTGCGTGACCCGGCACTGTTTCCTAACCCCACATCCTTTGGTTTCCTCATCAGCAAAGTTATGATAAAGTTTAACTCGTGGCAAGTTTAACTTGTGGCAAGCACTGCAGATGAGATGACTGGGCTGGAGCCCACTGGCTGTGCCCAAGGGGAGTGATTATTCCTGGCCGCCGTGATGTGTCCTAGCAGAGGGAGAATGCAGGCAAATGTCAACAGAGGCCTCTTTCTTCAGCAATGAGCAAGATAAGCATACATCCTTAGCATGGGCCGAGTAGTAGCCAAGGCTTAGGGGGGCTCAAATGCTCTACTTTGACATTGCTTTTAGGCAGGGAGGCATCTCAAGTCACACTATCCTATCGACTTGGCCCTAGGCTGAGGCTTGCTTCCATGACAAATGCACACCATATGCATTTCCCTTCTGGGTCAGAGGCAAAGAATGAGTAACACACCAAATCTCAGCTTCCACTGAAGTGTTCATTGGATCAACCAGCTGACATTTAGGACACTGGAGGATCAATGGAAAGACGGGAAGCTGAGAATCAGAAAATGTCCAAGTCTTAGATTCTCAAGCAGAGGATCCCTGCTTGGCCCATTTCTTACCGTGCTACCAGCCTTGTCAAATACCTGGCCAGTTGCACCAGCCCTAGCATTCTTCAACAGGTGAGGTTCATCTTACCTTCAGGCTAATATGGTTGGTCTCATTGGTCTCCAGAGGAAAAATATTTTCAGGAGGAATGTGGGACCATTTTTTCTGACGAAGTTCATATTCTTTTTTATATTTTCTGTGAAAGGAATAGAACCAGTCAGTAGGTTTTTATTAACATTCATGTCATTTAGCTTCTGAACACTAAGAGAAATTTAGAACGCTGACATTCTTAGGTAGATATGTGGTGAGAGATGTTAGCCCAGTGGCGTGATTCCATGTTCCCCAAACTGGTGAATGCTGGCCATTAGGTCAGCTGTAACGATTTCTGATGGTGGTTTAACTTTTTCTTTCTTTCTTTTCTTCCCTTCTTTCTTTCCATTTCATTTTCTCAGGTCCTTCACTAAGGCAGCCCTTCACTATTATAAAGAATCTGAACTGATGACATGGAAAGAGTAAGGAAAAAACAGAAACAATTCAAAACTGGTAAGCTTGAAAAGCAAATATGTTAATTTTTAAGCCACCAGAGAATACACCAGATTCCTAAACAAGCCAGTTCTTCTTCTTCTTCTTTTTTTTTTAAAGATTTTATTTATTTATTTGAGAGAGAGAGACACGTTGAGAGAGTGAACACAAGCAGGGGGAGTGGGAGAGGGAGAAGCAGGCTTCCGGCGGAGCAGAGAGCCCAATGTGGGGCTCGATTCCAGGACCCCGGGATCATGACCTGAGCCAAAGGCAGATGCTTAACGACTGAGCCACCCAGGTACCCCAAAAGCCACTTCTTCTTATGCATTTGTGCCTTTAAGAATATGTGTATAAAGAAAATAGAAGAGCATAGAGAAAATGTAACATGTATTTCAACATTCAAAATGTCAATTTTTTAAGTGTTTCCCCCAGATAGTACAGATAAAGCAGAATCCTTGGGTTATAGGAAACACTTACAACTTTACCGATATTGTCAAATTATTTCCCAAAGTGGTTATACTACTTACACCTTCCCAACATGAGAATTCCCATTTCTTCCGGATTCTTAACATTTGGTATTCTTAGAAATATTTTCCTACTTGAGATCATAAAGTCCTTTTCTATTAATTTCCTCTAAGTTTTGAAGTTTGAATTTCACATTTAAGTCTTTATTCCATTTATAATCCATATGGAATGAACTCTATATTTGTGTATGGTTTCAGGTAGGATTTTAATTTCATTTTTTCCATGTTGCAAGGCTACCATGCCATCATTTTCCAACTGACTTGTAATGTCACCTCTAGCATATTCCAAATTCTCGTGCTTGCTGTGTCTGGTTCTAGAATCTGAGTTTTTCCATTGACCTATTTGTCCTTGAGTTTATCTTTGCTTGTGGTTATTTGACAAACTTCTACTCACCTTCTTAGGTCATTCATGATGACTTTCTTATTGGATTCTAAGCAGAAATGACTATTTTCTTCCTATGCTTCCATCTAACTCTGAGTATTCCTCTATTAAATACATATAAAATAGCATATTATTGACCAATGATTATCCTAGGACCTGGGGCAAAGAAGGCTTTGTAGCCTTAAAGGCTCTCATCTCTGCATTCGAAGAGACTCTTGGGACCCTACAGAGCCACGTGCCATTCATATTGAATCAGAAGATGCCATAAATCATTCACTATTTTCCTTATATAGGTAGTTGTAATAGAAAACTATAAGAATAACATCTGTCTACCAGATCTCCTTGTGGACACACCATTGCTCCAGCCAGACAGGACACACCTGTTTCAGCCTGTTTCCATCTGTTACTGTCTTTTACCTTGTGACTCCCCCTGATCTTAAGCTGACACTCATTTGGACTCGGTTCCTGAAGGGCATTAGCCACATCTGTGACCTTGCTATTGACTGGCTTTATTCTCCTCAAATTTTGGTTTCTGGCTATCTCCAACTAAATGGCCATCATACACTGTATATGTGTATATACAGCTCAAATTTGGGTTAATGCAGAGTTACAGGAGTCAAGTTCTGCCTTCAGACTGAACAGAACATTCTACTTCCTTTCCTGGAGAAACCTTTAACTGACATACAACAGACTGGATTCTCTCATGAGAAAGTACAGTGCCACACTGATAAAAGCACGTGATACGAAGAGAAAAGTTGTTCTCTGGTTCAGCTGGGAAATGGGGGTGATCCTGACAATATAATAGGATGGAAAGTTTTATGTGTTTAACATACACAGATTAGCATAGTGTGGTATTCACTCATTCATTTATATATTCAACAAATATTTCTGAGCATACAGTATGCCTCTAACACTGTGCGGGGCACTTCATCTGTGCAAATTGAGTAGAACAACCATGGAACTGATGGTCAGAAGGCTTGAGTGCTAGTTTTGGCCCTACAACTATCTGGTGTTGTGACTCCAGACAAGCCATTTGGTTTTCTGGGTCTCTTTCCCCATGCTAAAATGGGAGGTGTGAAGTAGATGATTTCTGAAGACTCTTCCAGCCTGAACACTATATAATATAGAGATTGATATGCCCCACAAAATACCAATAAAACAGCAGAAGAGCTGTTTCTGTCTATAGGATGCCTATTATATGGCAGTCACTATCCACACTTTATATCAAGTTCTCACAACAGTTCAGATGAGGATACTGAAGTTAAGTAACCTGTAATAACACACTAAAACCCGCACAACTATTAAGTCACAGAACTGAGATAGATACGAGTTCAGGTGTCTCTAACTGATCCATTCAATACTATTCTGCCCTCGATGTAGTCTTTGATGCAGAATGCCTTCATGATCTTAGATCTGTCTAGACACCTTCTTGTCGATATATATTATCATTGATGACATCAGACTTCTCCCTCTCTTTGCATGATGAGCACAGCGAGACAAAGGGGGTGGTAGGTACCTCAGCACCAGAAGAGCAATGAGCAGGAGCAGAACCACAGCTCCTGTGAGGGTGAAGACTGCAATCAACAGGACTTGAGGGCCTGTGGCAGAAAAGACAGTGAAAAATGCATTAGTAAGGATCTTTGAAAAGAGAATAAAATCATTTCAAAGATTCTAGTTGTATAATCTCATCTGAAGGAGGGAAAAGGAGAGACGTTTAAAAAAAAACTTTTATCTTCTATTCATCTCTTCATTGGTAATATAGGTCCTGTATTTGTGGTCTCTGAGGAAAACTACCTGGAATGTGCCAGGGGAAGTGGTTTAATTTCAGTGGTCCTTATGGACTGCATACTGCGTTTCATTGGGAATCACCAAATGTCAGAAAAACATAAAATAGTGTCCAGTATGCAAATAATTTTGGTGGGAAACCCACCTGATGTCCTTGAAACCAATATACCTAAGGAGGATTCACAAAGGAAGAAAGTCAACTATTTTTTTAAAAGATTTCATTTATTTATTTATTTATTTATTTATTTATTTATTTATTTAAGAGAGAGAAGGAGAAAGAGAGAGACCGTGCAAATGGGGGTAGGGAGAAAGACAAGCAGTCTCCACTTGCTGAGAGTGGAGCCTGACCTGGGGCTTGATCTCAAAACACTGAACCATGACCTGAGCCGAAATCAAGAGTCGGACGCTTAACCAACTGAGCCACCCAGGGCCCCAGAGTCAACTATTTTTTAACACCAGGCACAATCAGAGGAAAAGCCAGTCGTTTTGGAATATTAAATGACAGTGTTGCCTGCTGGTTCTTCCCAAGTGCTACAAAGTCATTGATGGAAGTCAGTGAAGGATGTAAGTGATTTTATTTATTAGAGCACAAGTGTGTAGGTGGAGTTGTAAAGATGAAGCAATTTAAAAGACTGACAGAAGGGTAAGTGGAATTCAGGAAAATGTAGATCCAACCCAAGGAAGCTTTGAAACAGAAACTGAATATGCAGAGGAACAGGCCTCGACTGAGAAGGACAACAACAATAGTAAAACTGTACAAGAAAGTCATGTTTTGTATATGCCACGATGGATTCTGATTAGAATAGGAAGTTGGTGAGTTCAAGAAGGAAAAATGGAATGGATTCTAAGCAATAGAGTACTATTTTGCTTTATATAAATAATAATGATGAAAATGTTACTAATTTTCAACTTATAGAATCAACTTATAGGTAAATGACAGAGGGTTTATATGACTGCCAAATAAATATTATCAGCTATGACAAATTAAAGAAAAATACAGAGAATCTGGGAGGTAGGAAGGAGGTAGTAGGAAACATCTTCATCTTACCAAGCTGGGAAGCAAGAAGTTTTTATTTTTTGTTTTCTTTTGTTTTTTTAAGATTTTATTTATTTATTTGAGAGAGAGAGAACGAGTGGAGGGAGAGGGAGAATCAGACTCCCCACTGAGCAGGGAGCCCAACGTGGGGCTCCATGCCAGAATTCCGGGATCATAACCTGAGCCGAAGAAAGATGCTTAACTGAATGAGCCACCCAGGCGTTCCATGAAGTTTTTTATATAGTTGGTAGAGAACAGTACTAGAAGCTTACGCATATCAATTAAAATTACAAAGGCACCCAATAAATGTATTGACAAAAAGATATAACTAATTTGAGAAAAGGTTAGAAAAAAGTAGGGCTAGTGAAGATGAACTAAATCTTTTATCAATACAAGAAATAAACAGATAACATCCAAAGCTTATGAATCAAGAAATGTATGCATATTATTTAGAAATATGCAACAAACTAAAGGGAGAAGTGACTGAGAGACCAGAGCTGACAGAGGAGGGGCCAGGCATACTCACGTTCCATTATGAATATTTTTACTATTGGATTTTAACATCACATGCACGAATTTTCTTCACTAAAAATGTCTCCATGCTTTCTATAAGGGGTGACTTTGAAGGGGTTTATGCTTTGCTAACATAGGACTTTACCTCTGCTTATCTTGTTTCCTGCTAAGGGAAATTTTTAACAATGAAAATGTGAGCTCTGGATTTCTGTTCTCATCAGGGCAGAAACAGACTAGTATCTTGGATTTGGATGGGCATATCTGACGGTGTGAATTCTGTTTATTACTGTGATCATCACTCCTATCACCCCGCCATTGCCATTACCACCACTCTCAGAATCGGTATGAGAAATATAATTCACTCATCAACGATTCTACTCATCAGTCTACTGAAATGACACATCCCCTAGACTAGAGCACGAACTGGAGGGACTAGGGGGACTTCTGTCTGCTGGGTCCTCCCCATCTCAATTCCTGTCTACCCCCCACAGCACGAACATCTCACTGCGCTAAATATACTTATGATATTTATTTTAAAGATTTTATTTATTTATTTGACAGAGAGAGAGCAAGCACAAGCAGGGGGAGCGGCAGGCGGAGGCAGAGGGAGAAGCAAGCTCCCCGCTGAGCAGGGAGCCCGACGCGGGCCTCAATCCCTGGACCCAGGATCATGACCTGAGCCGAAGGCAGTCGCTTAACCAACTGAGCCACACAGTCGCCCCATACTTATGATATTTAAATATGCTGTATACTATTTAAATATAGAGGTGGTTAA